ATGATTCTATGATTCTATGCAGCAATACTGTATCAAAAACAGGCTGTTGCAGTGTTATACAGAAGAACAGAGACTCTTTGCAGACAGTAAGCTCATGCTGCTAACAAACATAACTGGAAATCTCTACATTTAATATATATGTCAAAACACATCTTTAAAACTTCCAGAAACTATAACTGTATTAAAATTAGAAGAACAAAGTAAATAACCATGAAGAATTAATGTTTACAGATCTTGATGTGCTCAGTGTGCCTTATTTATGATTTAAACAGAGTTCATCAGTAATTTATCACAGATTATTTCTTAAAAAGAAAAGAAATGCCCATCCTGAAAACTTGTGTCTCCCAAAAAAAAGGTTTCAATAGGAAAATCTCGAAGAAACTTGCAAGACACAGTTTGTTTTCTCAGGCCGAGGAAGGATCAAATCAGTTTTGACATACACAATCGTTAAAAAAACCCAAGTCATTTACCTGGATAAGCTGTTTCTGAAAGAGCCGGGCAAAATGGCTGTGGTTGCAGGTTGCAGACAGGTGAGCCATCATGGCCCTGTGAAGGAAAAGATCATGAAATTCTGACAGGAACTCTGTGGTACAAAAAATACTGTTCTAATTTCAAACCATATCAAGAGCATAAAATAACTGCTTTTAAGAAAGCAATCTCCAAAGGGCATTGCAAAAAGCAACATCTCTAAAACCAGGTTTCCCAAGCACTGAGCCCCATCTGCTGCTGATATGGAAACAAAAATTCTTCCTGAGCACCTGCAGAGCAAACAACTCTAGAGACAAAAAGAATCTCTTCCTTTCCTGAAATAATGCTGTTACTTGGAAAGAAGAATGAACTCATTCAGCTCCCACTCTTCCCTGCGCAGAAGAGCGACCTGAGAGTTCACACATACAGAAGTAAGAACACAGCAATAGCACTACTTCTGACGCCCCAGGAGATGGAAAATTTCTCAGTTTAGGCCTCAGCCTTGTTCTGCTCCTGTAGTGAAAAGCCACCTACATACATGTAACTTGAGTAGGTTGATGGTTGAAACTAACACAGAAACCCACAAGGCAACTGCTATCAAAACCATAGTAGTTTCTTTATGTATAATCTATTTTGATAGAGCAGTAAATGAATTTAACAGTCTGCTTTCTGCAGAAAGAGACACAGCTGTCTTGTTTTCAGAGACAATACACTAGAAGCCCCTGAAATAATTAGAAGAGTCAACAGCTTCTGAACATACAACACAGGTCTCCACACTTTAATGGAGTCAGACATCAGAAACTTGAAATGCACACACAAGTGTGTACAATAACACTGTGTACACAATATATATATTGTATACAATATATATATAGTGTATACAATAACGATGTTCACACCACAATACACTGGTAGCTCTTTCTGTGATTATGAATAGGGAAAGAGCTACATCAATACTGATCAAATTAGGCCCTTGCCACTTACAGCTCGTTTCTTTTAAGATAGCAGCTGATACTTTTAAAAAGAAGCAAGTTTACATGGATAGTATCTTCCAAGCAGCACAGCTCCCTACAGATTAGTGCAGAAGTTCCAGATCATGGAATTTAGGATGCCAAATCTAGTATGCTGCACCAGCAATTCAGCTACATTAAAGACTCCTACCTGATCTTGTTGCCCAGAACTCTTTCAAAGTCCCAGCCACTTTTCTCGTGGTTATCCTCCCATTCACGCAGAAGTTCATAAAATATGTCCCTGAGAATCAAGATATTTAAGGGAATGAATTCCCACTCTTCAAAATTTGTAGCAACAACAACCAAATATTCAATTGCTTCAAAGTTCCCTGGCAAGAATCTATCTCAGATTAAATAACTCACATCTCTAAGCATTCAGATACCTTTGCAAAACTCATTAGTGTTAGCGGGAATTCAGTGAGTTTCCATTTTCCATGTCTTTGACAAAAAGTGCTTGACCTTATGCCCAAGCTTTGATGGAATGACCAAAACACCCATTGCCAGACAGACATACCGAAGATTGAGAGGCAGGAAAGAAAAAGCCAGAGGAAATAATATCTATGAGGAGAGAAAAAAGGACCAAGACAACTTGTCATTCTGCCCTCACCCTGTTGCTGCAAGCATGGAGAGAGGCACAGGAAGAATAAAAGCATACCAGATCTATATGCAGAAGCAATCCAGGAGGGTGACACACTGTACTGGCATTAACAGAAGTCTCAATAACTCCTGAAGAATTGGGCTGTTTTTCCCTAAAGACATTAAGCATTTAGATCCTGCACTCAGTATGGACAAAAACTTTTTTTCCCTTTTAACTGAAAATGTCAAGATTTTTTTTCTACAGCACGAAGCATACATGAGACATTCTTAATATCCTTTGCTCACAATCATGCAATGATTATACCCTGTGAGTCATACAGTAATAGTAGAAGAAACTTACCTTTGTTTCTTAAATATGTGAAATGCTCTGTCGCTGGGAAAGTTAGAGCGATTATCAGTTTCTGGCTGGAAAGAAACAGACTGTACAGAGCATGGCAACAGGAGAGACACCTGTTCAAAATATAAAGGCAGCCATTAGACTAATGTAAATCTCTAAAACAATCTGAGACTCAGAAAAGAGCAGGGAAAAGGCATGATGAGGAAACCAAATATTACTAGCCAAATTGTCCAGAGATTAGGTACTTCCCAATTGCTAACTACTAGTAAACACTAACAGTTTTACAACCTACATTACACTACAGAGGCAGAATCACTCAACATTATGAGAGAAAGCATCTCATCTCTCTAAATCTCTGCTGAACAGGTTGCAACCAGTGTTGATACTGTGTGGAAAAAATGATGCACTGTCAGTGTCCCTTCAATATTAGGCTTCAGAAAATGCAGGATAATGGCTGGCAATTCCTCTACTGTTACTCTTTCTCCAGCTCAAAAAGCCTATGTCTTCAAGTAACAAGAAACCTTTATTTACAACTTTAAGAACTTTAAAGCTCCGTTATTGAAATGTCCTAGTCTAAGAAAGTACACGGTACTTTCTTTGCAAAGAATAATTTCCATTTTTAAAAGATGCATGAAATGAGATATAAAATGCATTCCTACCATCCAGCTTTAGTTTCCTAACCCAGATAATTACATGAAGAAACCAGTTTACACAATCTGCGTTGTCTCCTCTGAAACTTCATTTGCCTAAAAGGAGTCCATATCTATGAAAGAAATCCACTTCTTCAAAACTACCTTCTGATTCTGCATCTAACCAATCATTCTCCTGGGATGCATGTTTATTAGATGAGAATCTAAAGCAAAACTTGACTCTATCAAAGTCTCTGGTTGAGGTCAGGGCCCAGAGCACAATGCAAGGATAGCCAGCAACGATTCAGTGCTAGCAATCACTGGACCCAGCAATTCACTCACCCACTGACAAGAAAAAGAAGTAGCTTTTAGACAGTTGCCAGAGACAACATGACAAGATACTTGAAGTAGAAGTAATGAGATTTAACATCAAAGCCATTGCAAATAAAAGAGGAACAATATAAAGGCTTGAAGAAACGTCAGCTGAGGTCTGCCAATTTTTACCTTGGCTGCGCTGCTTTCATAAGCCTGCCTGAGCCTCTTGTGCAAGGTGGGAGAAAAAGATGCAATCCGTTCATTTTCGGCCAAAAGCTTCAGAATCCCCTTTTCTAAATGGGAAATAATTCTGCCAAGAAAACAGGGATAAAACCCAGATAGACAGACATAAACACATGATCAGACCTAAAGAAACACTTATGCTTATGTTTTATGAGGCTGCCAAGTAAAGAGTTCTAAGCCACAGATATTCAGCGTGAAATCCTACAGGTAAAGCTCTAAAACCCAAGCACACTTGCTTAATCCCACACACAACTGCAGACATAAAAGCAGAGGAAAAAAAAATTCAACTCACTCATATTGATAGTCCAAGACTCGAACAGCAAAATAAACACAGTTGTGCACACTTTGGAAATGCTGTCCCCCTGATACTTCTAAGGGAAAAAAAGAAACATGAGACAAAAGCACTTATCACTATTTATAAACTAAAAGACCAACAAAGCTTTTAAAGAAAGTAGGAACTGCCATATCAAAAAATAGTCTTTCAGATTCCTGTCCAATTTCCAGAAGTTCCCACTCTCAGCCCTGAGAATGAGTAGTAAAACAAAGGTCAGTCAAATTGGGGCATCTGGAGTGGGAGAGCATGTGGTGTGTATCACTCTTTTGGTTTTAATATCCATTTCAAAGTACTAACTGCATCAAGCTTAAGTCTGAATTTGACAAAAAACAAATGCAAGAATTACGCATCTATATGGCTGGATCCTGTTGCACTCATATCCTAATCTTAAGCTAAAGAAACACATAGTAGATCAACAGCACTTTTGAGTTGCAGGGACCAATGCAGAAGCAACTTTAGCAAATCTGTTCTTCTCTTTAAGCAAGAGCTGTAGCAAGCAGCTACAGCAAATCTCACACAGTAGCAGAAAACTAGATTCGAACAGGACCTAACAACCCCTCTCTATCATACTGCAGAAGCACTTCCCACACGTGTGATTTTTGTCAGCATCTCGGATGAGTCCCACAGTGGTAATAAGGCATTTTTATGTCATTTAAGATTAACTGTCCAAGCTGCTGTATAACACATTATTATTCCATGGAAGTAACATTCTTTCTCCTCAATACTATTGCTTACCTCTGCTACTTTCATTGATTTCAAGGTCACTGTCCCCATCTTCTGCAGTAGAAGTGCCTTTAGACGTCAATAGTTGCAGAACAAAGAACAGCTCCAGAAAAATATTTGGTACCAGGTTTTCTGGAAGAGAGTAAACAAGATGTTAAAGGTGGATTATTCAATACTGTCCTGCTTTAATTCACAAAGGTAAAAAACCAGATTCCTGTACTCTGGTAGTCACCAAAGAACTCCCTCTCCACACACAGCCACAGTGTAAATCAAAACAGGAAAGATGCGTTAGGGAATAGTCTAGTTTCAGATCATATAATTTCGGTCTATTGCAGCTCAGAGTACTGCATCAGGCTCACCTCCTTCCCTAAACTTTTACCTAGTATTCATTTATTTTAATAATTGAGTTGGCTTAGTTTATTTTTCCAGATTTTTTTTTTTGTACAATAGAACTGTTCCACAACTTCCACTTCTCATCTACCTCCCTCTCACAACACACACGCAAGTTCAAAGCTCAAAGAAAGGTCAGTCTCACATCTTCTGGGTCTTCACCTGCTATACACGATGAATACAGCTGCGCCAGACACTCCAGCTGCTTCTTGCAGGAAACCTTAGTAGGATTTGCACAGGTGACCAGATGGCTTTCAGCAGGCAGGCTAGCACTGCGAGTGTAGCTAGGCTTAGTCGGAGTACCAGGATCAAAAGACATCCCTGCAGGAGAAGACGCCTGGTGCAGCAATTTGCATCTGAAATTCAAGAGCAGCAACATATCATGTGACTGAAGATGATCCACAGCAGCCATGCAGCCAGAAGAGGTCTTTCTCCTGCACTGTAGCATGAAGGAAATCCTGCAATAACTAGCCATGTCATTTACACTGTCTAATGCAGCTTCTAGCTAATAGTAATTTAAGTCGCCTTTCTCTTTGTGAGAAAAGATCTCAGGGTTAGCAACCAAGACTGAAAAGAATCACATTCAAATTCCAGCTCTGTTAAAATAGTGTAGCGCTTTCACCAAATTAACCAGCTAACCTATGTTACTGCTTCTCATCTGAAATTATATTTGTTAAGGACAGAGAATCTGTTAGAGACCATGTGCTGAAATTTCTTTTTTGCATGTACAATTTCTGACAGCTAGATTTTACAACATCTATGAAAATAAGGTTCACATCCATATATTCAGTATATTTGTAAGTTAACGACACTCTGAGAAGACCCAATACCACTACGTGGAAAGGCAATGCAACAACTGATGAAAGCCCATACAGAAGGAACAAACTACTTTAATTGCTGGATTCTAAATCAACAACGATCACTCAGTTAAATACATAGACATTGTAAAAAACTACACCTTGAGATGTCATCCAAAATGTAGCACCGGAGTGGCACGTATAAGACACATGAAAAACAGGAAACAAGCCAGTAACAGCAATATCAAATGACTGTTAAAGATTCCAGTGAAACATTTACACTTGGAACATCACACCCTGTCTTACCACACTGTCTCAAAAGTAAGATCTTTAAGTCACTTTAAGGGCTGTGGGGAAGACGGAAACATTTTTACCTGCAGCAAAGGCTTTTTTCTATTGGCCTATTTCTAGTGGAACTGTTGAACAAATTGTTCCCAAAATGGAAACAGAAACATTACTAAATAACAGCTCCCTTGCAACAAACATAAGCACCCAAACTCATCAAACTGAAGAAAATTATTTATTAAGCACTTTGTAAAACCACCAAAGTAAGACTCTAATAATGCAGTTAGACTCTGCTTCACTTCTGCCTCAGTGTTGTCATCTACCTCAACACAAAATTCACCTTTTGCTCTTGCTCAAAGTGACCCAGCTGTCTGGAGGCTGTGTTAGTTTTGTACCTCACTTTACCATCAGTATGGAGGACACAACAGCAGCTCCCAGTTTTCAAGCATGATGGGTCAGACAAGATCACCTCCTGTGCAAGATCCAGCCCACCATATCCTGCTATTTCACTCAGTTTAGCTTATATAGATTATTGGGACATTTCAGGTAGAATTCAGTGGAATAGGTGCTTCACTTCAGTGCAGAGAGGTAGGTTTGAATCCTGAGCAGTTCTACTACAGGTCCAGTACAAACAGTAGTTCATTAGTCTCTACTGGATGTGTTTCAGCCAGTTCTGGACCCACTGAAGTGACCTGCAAGGCTTAGCAGGAAAAGAATTCCACCCATGTGTCCTGAGGAACTTCCCCAAGAACAAAACCTACAAAGAACAGCAACGCTTCTGTCAGCAATTACAAACAATAGTTTCTCTACTTCTGTGCTTTGCTTTTTTTCTGAAGTATAAATCTTCACAGACTAACAGTGATATCATTTTACAGATGATGAAAGTCACACGCTAACTGAACAGCAGAGACAAAATAAGAAGCTAGAATTCACCTCATCTCACAGCAAACAATTTTCAACAGTTACTGCAGTAGTAACTTTGAAACAGAATCTCAAGCTACCCATGTCCTGTTTTCTCTGACTGCAAGCTTCTACTAGCCTGCCTACCTTAAAAAATCATTAAATCACACTTTCACTATCTTTGCAGCGTTAACTCATTTTCTTCAAACTGATAAGTCTTGGTGTCATTTTCAAACAGAGCCTAATTACACCAGCTCAAACGCACACACTCTGCCTGCACAATCTAAGGACAGCTGCACAGGAGATAGCTACGTATGCAAGCCCATGAAGAAGAAATCTCATGAAAGCAATGAGGACTGACTAAACTTCTGAAGTGAGGGTCATTGTTCCAGAGTCAGCACACCTCTAAAATGACAAACATGAGCTAGCTGCATTAATATGCTAGTCTGATAACAGAGTCACACTTGGCTTTAGGCAAATTATAGTTTAAGGCCACCTATATATGTCTGGGATATTCTTTTGGTCATTTTCACCTTGATATCAGTATCACCTTAAGACAAGGTGTCATGGTTTAGGAATGGTACTTCCCAATTTAGTGTTCTCACTCAGACTCTCCAAACCACTTGCTTGCTCCCTTCCCCTCTCCCCCTCCCCCTGAAGTGGGATGAAGAGGAGAACTGGAAGCACAAAAGGTGAAAAACATGGGTTGAGACAAGAACAATTTAGTGGAAACAGCAATGACATGAGAAAACAAATACTAACAGCAACAACACTAATGGCAGAGGGTACAAGCAAGAGGTGAACGATTCAAACAGAACCCCTCCAATAATAGAGAATACCCAACTGCTCTCTCCACACTACACCGACCAAGAAGAGAATTCTTTCCCAGCCCCCAGAAAGTGATAGGAGGTGGCATAGAATAACTTCTGGGTCCTAGCCATGCACTCTCCTGGCTACTGTAAAAATTACCCCAGCCTGGCTGGAACCAGGACATTATCCACCTTTTATTCAGTACCACCTACATCATGTCCAAATCCTACACCTTCCAACTATATACATACATGTACATATATATACAAGCATGAGTATCATTTCCATAGTCAATGGCTGTCCCTCCAAGACGTCTGTTGAGTTCATTTGTCCATGACTGTGGGTTCTATCTGTCCTAGATGTCTTCCAGGGCAAGAGGGGTGGTGTGCTGTCAGGTGATTCCAATCTGCATCAGGAACTCATGACTGGTGTGTCTGGAGCAGTCCATACTCATTGTCCATGGTAGTTATGACATACAGTGGCAGCGTCATTCAGCAACCAATAATATATAATTCAAAATTACAGACTCTTCGCACCTAAAAGTCGAATCCCCTTGAGATACGTACGTTTCCCCATCCCTCGGCATTACCCACCAAGTGCACCCAGGTCCTTGAGCAAAAACAATCTCTCAGATACGTTTTCCTTTGCTTGAGGCAGGACTAATCCAAACTGTCTTCCCGAACATACTCCTCATATGCACCACAGGGACTGTATCCCCTTCTACAGTACGTGGAGGTTTTGAGTGGGCTGGGCCAGCTCGACTGGTGGAGCCTCTGGTGTTAAATAACCAGGCGGCCTTTGCTAAATGTTTGAAGGTTCCACCACTCATTGCTTGCAATGTAGTTTTTAACAGTCCGCGGTACCATTCAACTTTCCCCAGATGCTGGTGCATGATAGGGAATACGATATACCCACTCAATACCGTGCTCTCTGGCCCAGGTGTTTATGAGGCTATTTTTAAAATGAGTCCCATTGTCTGACTCAATTCTCTCTGGGGTGTCATGTCACCACAGGACTTGCTTTTCAAGGCCCAAGATGATGTTCAAGGCAGTGGCACAGGACACAGGGTGCATCCCTAGCCATCCAGTGGTTGTTTCCACCATTGTCAGCAGGTTTGCAGGAGTGTGATGCAATCAATCTGTCAGGACTCCCCATATTCGTATTTCAACCCATCATACCACAAAGGCTTTACCCGCCTGGCCTGCTTGACTGCCGTGAATGGTTCACAGTTATGGATAACCTGGGAAATAGTGTCCATGGTTAAATCCACCCTTCGATCATGAGTCCATCTCCATGTTGCACCTCTTCCCTGATGACCTGAGGCATCACGGGCCCACCGAGCCAGAAATAATTCACCTTTATGTTGCCAGTCCAGATCCCGAGACACTTTGATCCTGGCAGCCCAATTCACCTGTCCATTGTTGCGATGTTCTTCAGTAGCCCAACTCTGGGGTACATGTGCATCTACGTGATGAACTTTCACAGTCAGCTTCTCTATCCAGGCAGCGATGTCTTGCCACAGTTCAGCAGTCCAGGTGGGAATAACCTCTGTGTCACGAGTCAGTGTAGAGGTAGAGCGCTGACCATTTCTCTCATTCAGCGATATCTAAAGCCAGCTCTGCAACCTGACTTGATCCACCTGGTCCCTCGACAGCTCCTGTGACTCGCTGTGTAGGACTCCATATGGAAGTTTTCCATTTTCGATGTATCCCTACAATACGGCACGAACAGTCAGTGAAGAGAGAGTGTTGCTTTTCATTTTCTGGTAGCTGATTATATGGTAGGGCCTCCTCAGCATGTCACCTTCTCCTCTGATGATGAGAGTCCAAAATTCTCACCTTCGCTGGGCAACCAGGGTTTCCCATTCAAGCTCACTGTGTGATCAGAGCAATCTCTTACTCCACGTAGCATTGGCATGATGTGTGGAAGGGACTTTCCCTTTGAACATCCAGCCCAGCACTGGCAGTCAAGATGTCAGGAGGAGCTGTGCTTCAGTGCCAATCACTGCTGAAGCTGCTCAAAGCCCTTCATAAGATGTTAAGATCTCTTTTTCAGTTCGGATGTAACAGACCTTGGATCCTTTGTATCCCTGACTCCAGAACCCAAAGGGTCATCCTTGAGTCTCCACAGGTACTTTTTGCCAGAGACTCCAGGAAGGACCATTCTCCCTGGCTGAAGTGTAAAGAACATTTTTCACATCTTGTTCTGTCCTGACTCCAGACATGATGTTGACTGTACTGACTCTAAACATGGTGTAGATTTTACTGAGGAGACATAGTAGACATATCAATAAGAATATGCTTCCCTTAACATCCAAAGGAAATTCAAAATTCTCAAAAGCTGTTATAACAGGCCTGAAGGAGAAAAAGGGGTGAAAAGCTGGGAGAAATCATCCTCCCCTGTTCTCCCCATAGACTGGGTACCATTATTAATGGACTCCCAGAGGCAGGACGTGAGGAAAGGGTAGGAGAACAACACTAAAGACACATCCCAAATGACCCTCGTTGCCCTTAATGTTATCATGTCATAAACTGATATCCCATAGTACATCAACAAAGCAATCCTGATCTCTCTCCCTGCTCAGACAGAGCATGATGATGGGCAGATAGTGTATTTACAGAAACATATACAGGGTTAGGTACCACAAGAACATGAACAGACCAAGCAACATTGTGACCAGTGGCTCTGGACTTAATACAACAAATGGTTAGATCAAACTTGTTTCCAACCCACTCTGGGCAGATCTGTTGTTCTCTCAACCCTTTGTGTCCCACACTGGGCACTAAATAAAGCTGTTGTGGTTTAGGAGTGGTACTCCCCAGCTCAGTGCTCTCACTCAAGACTCTCCAAACCACGCACTGCTCGCTTGCTCTCCCCTCCCCCTGTGGCAGGATGGAGAGGAGAATCGGAGACAAAAAAGGTAAAGATCATAGGTTGGGTTAAGAACAATTTATGGGAAACAGCAAAGACATGAGAAAATGAACAATAACAGCAACAGTACTACTGACAGAGGGTACAAGAAAGAGCTGAATGATTCACACAGACACCTCCCAACAATAGAGAATACCCGACTGCTCCCTCTACCACACTACACTGACCCAAAAGAGAGCCCTTTCCCAGTCCCCAGAAAATGACATGAGGTGGTACAGAATAACCCCTGGGTCCCAGTCATGTCCCCTCCTGCCTACTGCAAAACTTAACTCTATCCTGGCCAGAACCAGGACACAAGGGAATTAAGAATCAATACAAGCCTATCACCCCCCTGTTCAGACTGTACCGTTCTTTCTTCAGCATCTCCCTCTCCTCTTGAAGGCTGTTGCTTATCACAGATGTAAGGTGTCCTTCCTGGACAGTGGTAAAGGCCTCAAGGCTTGACCCAGGTGACAACCGAGCAGCTGGAGACTGACTAACAGGAGTAGAAGTGAAGCACGTCTTTGGTTTTGAGAGGGGGCGCTCAGCACTTACAGGAGTTGGGTTGATTCTCCTCGATGGTTTGCTTTTGCTGAAAAAATGAGAAGCAATGCCACTAAAAACAAGGTAAACAACAAAAAAATTAGGTCTCAAGAGAGATATGCACGCAACTCTTGCAGAGAAACCTGATGCTAAAATAAAATGGAGTCAGGATACTGAATTTTTAAACTGTATATATAGTTATTAATTTTATTCTGGTCACTGAATAAAAGTCATGAAGGTACAGACTGCTAAAAACCGCCTGCTGACTCTGCTGCAAAATTTATTAACAGATAACACAGTGCCACACAATCCTTCTAAACAGTTCTAATTTCAGAGGACAAGATATGCCCCATTTTAGTAAGAAACTGACGGTGAATGAATTTCTAACATAACCAAGAGAAAAAAAACACCAAAACCAATCAAGGTGCTATTGTCCATCTGTCTGTGTAAGAGTCCAGGTTCTGAAGTTACAATAGGCCCTTTAAGTTTAAGGAAACTCATCCTTCCTGCATATACTACTTAAGATTTATCTTTCAAGAAGAGGTTCCATAAACTAGTAAAAAGCCCTAAAAAACTGGAAACAAGACACAGAAACATAAAGCATTACACTTCTCAAGGATTTGCTGGTTGTTACATATTAATTGATACAGTGTTTTCAAAATCCATATAGCATAGACTTCCAAACACTCCGTGACCTCCTTCCTCCTTCTTTTTCCTAGTTGAGCACAATGTAATTGAGGAAGAGATACTTGCTGTCTATGCTGGAAACACACTTTATCTCCCTTGGCCAAAGAGCCTCATCTAGAGCACCGTCTGGACTCAGCATCTGGATCTGCTGTACAGACTCACACATTAATAATTTTGGAATTTTGCACGTCCAACTAGAAAGTCCCACTTTCAGAGACCAATGACTGATATATGGAGTAAACAGGCTGACATGAAAGCCTTGTATTTGCTAAAGAGGATTTTAAAGAGTAAAAGAGAAAGACAAAAGGACTGAGGCAACCACAACACTAACAGTTGCCCAGAAGCTAAACCAAAGTCACCAAGGTGACCAGGGCTTGCTGCAGACCAAGAATACAGCTAGCTATTTTGTCCATGATCACACAGCACAAACAAAGCTGCACACTAACATCTGCTGCCAGAAGCCACAGAATGTCAATCCAAAAGCTTCTTTGATAGCATCAGTAGAGCTGAAGAGCCTTCTAAGACTGCTCTTCCTTAACAACTGCTGTTATGCTAAATGAGAAATGTGAAGAGCCAAGATAACGCTGAGTTGTTAGAACATGCAAGGACAAAGATGTTCTGGGTTAACATGAGCTGGAACGTGCACCAGTAAGCTGCAGGCAGCATCCCAAGTGAGAGGCTAAAGAGGAGTCTTGGGTGAGTTCAGAGAGTGGAAACCTGGCTACCCATTGAAGCAATATTCCCCTCCCTGCATGGTGACCATAAGAAAGCAGTTCTGACCAAGGAGCCAGGCATCGTGTATTACAGTATCTTCTGCCTCTGGACACTCACAACAGGATGAGTTAGTCAGAAAACAGTAACCTGCAGCACAATCCAAATGAGACAGTGAGGCAGACTTGCTCTTACTTTGTCCAGCCAGAGGCAGCACCCATGGGTGGGAACTCCTCCAAGTTGTTTAGGTTTAGCTGGCTGGGTGGGGATCTGGCAGAATCAAGAGGCACTTCACTCCGCTTCCTTCTCCCTCCACTCCACAATACACTGTCATTCTTTCCATCTTCCTCTTCAGCAAGGGAACGCCCCAGATCCCGAGCTACCTGCCGGCCAGAGGCACCAACTGAGCTGTTTCCTTTCCTTCGGCCTCGTCTCACTGGCAGGGCTTCCGGTGTGGCTGTAAGGAAGCTCCCCAAGCTGGCCTTCTGAGATGACCGCTTCTCCCCATGGTGAAGCACAGGGCTGTACCCAAAGCTCGGGCTGCTACTGGACACCACGCTTGGGAAATCACCACAAGGGCTAGAGAGGTTTGACCCAGAAAAGGAAGAGGAACTGCTGGATGCTGCAGCAGGAGAAAAGCTGGTGTCTGTGGTGCAGGTAGTCGCTGAAGTCCTTTGGGAAAAGAGCTGCACTCGGCTGCTGGTTGCATGGCCTGCTCTCCTTTCTGATCCTGTCCTTTGGTTCCCATGGGCCTTGGAACTAGGTGTTTTAGCAGGAGTAGAGGGTCCATTAGTCAGAATCTGGCTGGTCTGCTCCCTTAAAAAATTTAGCAGAAAAGGCACGAAATCTTTCTGAAGCAAACTAAGAGATACCAGCTTGTCATGGATGTGGTTTTCCTACAAGAAAAGAGGACAAAGAATCAATATAAAAGAAGCCACCTTTTTCATTCTGTCCATGTACTTAGATGTCCCAAGTAGTAACTGTGGGATTGCAATATATAATAAAAAACACCATGACATGGCAAAATAGGTCACTGAAATTCAAGCAACCTTAGCACTGGTCACAGATCTGAAGATCAGCTTCCACACAAGCAATTTTGGCACGAGTTTTCAGATGGAGTCATTCACTTTGGTCTCTGACTGGGAAACAGTGGAACTGTTCCACGGAAACACCAGTAATACTCCCTGAAGCTATGGCCAGGCAGAACTTGGAGCAACTGGCACCCCTAAATTCAACACTTCAAAGACATCAATACTGAAAGCAGCTAATTCTAATAGAAAAATCTAAAATCTGCAACTTCTCTGTCCCTTATTTGTCTATAAATGCCACTTGCTCCCACAGAGGGGTGCTATAACAACTGTTTAAGCACTCGGAGTCCTGCAGTGCCAAATACAAGACCAAAGCTGCTCTTCCATTTCAATTAATTTTCCTGCCTTTAGGCCTCAGGGAGGTCTAAACAGAAACTCTACAACCTTAAGGCAAATGAAGTTTATACTTAAACTTAAACAAAAAACCCACCACTGACTCAACACATTTAAAATCTAAACAGGTAGTGGTGTTCTTCATGTTACATGCATAGTTCAAAGTTTTGTAAACTTGGTAAAAATTCTTTTGTTCATAACACTGCACCAGGTTTCTGTCTCCTCTCAATGGGATTCAGCAACATTTGCCACAACAGAAGAAGTTCTCATAGGCAGCAACTTATTCCTTACTAATATTAAAGTCATTGTACACATACTCCAGTTAATTTATATTCACACCTCTACTAGATGAAAAGTCAAAAAAGCAAATGCTATTTCTGAAGGTGGTTTTTTGCATGAAGGGAAGCAGTGAAAGCATGCCTATGACTGGACTCCCAAAATCCTCACTACCTATGCTGAAATTCATATTTGAAAGTGTGAGACCAATTCAGCTTCTTGGAGGAACATGAGATTCCAACATAGGTCAGAGCACAATCCCTGTGAGGTGTCAGAAGACCATCTCCAGTCTGAAATTGCCATGAAAGACAGAGCAAGACGTAGCCTACCACTTTCTTGTGTGCCCCCGAGTTTAGCATAGAGGCACAAGATAATTAGTCTATACCATGCATAAGGTCAGGTACTTTCTGCAGTTTTTCAGAGCACAACCTGCATTCACTCATCTTTCTCTGTCCAAGTTAACTGAGGTTTGGTTCCTCCGTGTTTGGGTAACAGCAAACTGCAACTTCGTACTCGCTGCAAACTTCGTACTTGCTTTCTCATGCTGAAGTAACTGAGCTTCTCCCAGCAGCAAAAGACAGTGAGCAATTCCCTTGCAAGGGCAAACTTTTCGGCCTCCTCACCCCTTGCCTATGCAGTGCTAGCTGAGCTGCCAGCATCTCAAACTTCTTAACCTCCACAGACCTGCAAGTCACAGTTGAAGAAATACCACACAGCATAAAGCTGCTAGTCCATTCTTCCCACGTACGTTTAGGATGACAATGATACTCAGCTAACTCACGGGGATGATACCAGTGAGTTTTGATTTTAACACTAGGTAACACCCCATGAGGGGCTCAGGCAGAAAATCCTTTAAAAACAAATTGTATCTCTATGTTATTAGTGAAATATAGGCAGTCCTAGTCCATCTCTGGTTACAATGTTTTTATTTCCACAAGAACCCAAATCGTCCAGGCATATCCCATTACAAAACTCGGCCAACAAGCACCCTCTCCCAGCCCCAAGAAAGATCCTCCTCAACATCCCGGCGGGCCAGCCGGGAGGCGCGCTAGCGTTTGCATAGAGCCACCGCCAAGCCCTGGCTGCCAAGCGCCTCGTCTTTCTCTCACCGCCACCTTCCCCGACAAAGACGCGGGAAGCGTCACCCCGTCCTGTCACCGCGTTTCCTCAGGACACACCAGCGGCGCGGCGCTGCACTGCCGCCCCTCGCCCCCCCGCGCTGTGCGCCGGCACCCGGCACGATCCCCCGCTGCTCCCGCCCGGCTGCCGGGCTCAGCCCTGCGGATGTTAGCGGGATTCCCACACCCGCCCGGCAGCTCCCAACGCAGATCCCGCCGGCGGCCTCGCCTTCCCGCCGCTCTGCCCGGAGCCCGCCCGCGCCGGGGGCGGTGCCGCCGCTGTTGGACGGGAGCTCGGCCCTAGTGCGCGGTGGCAGAACGGCACCGACCGGGGCCTGGGCCGACCCGCGCGGCTTCGTCCCTCACAGCAGCACGGACTGGACGCCCCCACTGCCGGCGAGCACAAACTCTCGAGCTCGGCACCGGCCCGCGGCGGCGAAGGGCGCTGGGGGAGTGGCGCGGCGGCGGGCCCGGCCCCGCCGGAGCCGGGGCGCTGCGGGAGGGCGAGCCGAGGACCTGCCGCGCGTTACCTCAGCCGGGCGGTGGCCGGGGCCGTGCTGGAGCCACCGCACCACGGCGCTGACCGGCACCTCCTCCTGCAGCAGCAGCTCCAAAACCGCCGCCATTCCCGGCCGCGCTCCCGCCGAGCACGCGCACAACCCGCGCCGGGGGCGGGCCCGGCGTGTCCCCCCTTCCCGCGGGGGCGGTGCCGAGCGGGGATTCCCGCCGGGGAGGCGGGCAGGGGCCGCGCCCCCTCCCCATGTCAACACGCGGGGCACGGGGCGCCTGCGCCGGTCCGTGCGCGTCTTTTCCTCTCATGCGCGGTATTTGCTTCCCCAGCAGGACTCGGGCCCCGGCCTAGCGGCGGCGGCGCCGGCGGCGCCCGCGGGCCGGGGCGGAGGGAAGGGCAGCGGCGCCCCCCCCGCCGCTCCGCGCCCGCCCGCCCGCCCGCCAGCCCCCGCGGCGGAGGATGGCCGAGGACTCGCCCAAGCGGCGCAAGGCGAATTTCAATGAGGCGGAGACGGAGGTGCTGATCGAGCAGGTGCTGAAGCACGAACAGCTGCTGTTCGCGGCGGGACCCGGTCGCGCCTCCCCGGGCCAAAAGAGGAAGGTGTGGGAGCTGATCCGGCACAAGGTGAACCCAGTGGCTGCCTGCCCCCGCGACGTGGAGGACCTGAAGAAGCGCTGGCGGGACCTGAAGCGCCGCGACCGCAGCAAGCTGTGCCGCCTCTCGCAGGGCTGCGGGCCGCCGGGGCCCCCCGCCCTCGGCCTCCTTCTGGCCCCCGAGGAGCTGCCGCCCGCGCCGCCCGCCCGCCGCCAGCGCCGCGGCTATGGCTCCCTGCTGCCCGCCGAGGCCGTGCCCATCGTGGGCGGCATCGACACGCTGGAGCTGCCCGGCGCCGTCGTGGGGGACATGGGTGAGTGCGGGAGCGACCCCCGCGGCACCGCCCCGGACCCTCCGCCCGGCGTCCCGCGCTCTGCGCGGCGGGTCGGCTCTGCCCGCCCACTGCGTGCGCGCAGGGCGCTGCGGGCACCAGCCGCGCTGGAAATGTCTGGTTCGGATAGCCACCTTCTGTCCTTGGAAATGCAAAACGTGTATGCGCGCACACTGAACTGTGAGGCTTTGTGCTGTAGGTCATAAAAGTGCACCAAAACGGCGCCCAGGAGTAAAAACCCTGTCCTGTAGCAGACGCTGCTCATCGTCGAGCCGTTAGACCTGCCACTGATCTTCGCCGTTGCAGTACTTATTCTTGCAAATGCAAAAGCCAAAAAGCCATGGCAGCACACAGTTCCTGCCAGTGCAAAGTGCTGCGAGTACATAAGTTACTACGTGGCAGAGACATTGCATTAGCACGTTGAAATGATCACCTTCAATACCATGGGATTTCTTGCTATCAGTGTTTCATCAATGCTCTTACTGGTTACTTGGTGCACAGTAGAGTGTGAAATGAGCTTGCAATGAACTTTGTCTCTTGGAACCTAAAGTTCAGCTTCTGTGGTAGGGCTGGTAAGGGATCTGTAGTGTGGTTAATTGGTGAATGCATATTTATGGTTTTCTTCCCACCTATCGAGGTGTATTCTAAAAGCATCAAAGATAACATAGTATGAGTTTGAGAGTCTTGTTTCAAGGACTAATGTTAGTGCTTAGTGGATGAGAACACATTTCACTGACCATCAAGGTTATGAAGTTTCTCACTGGCTCTCCTTTGATTTTCCTCTTCCCCCCCTCTCCTCTAGGGTTTAATGGCAATCCTGGCCCATCTCATCAATGCAGTGTTGAGAAGATGAACCTCAAAGAAGAAATAGTAGTGAAGGTGGTAGAGCCAGAAGAAAGCTCTGAGGACATGGTTGTGGTTTCACCTAATCAAGAAGAACTGCCTTTTCTAGGGACATCAGGCAGTAGTTCTTCTGGGAAAGTAAAAGCCAAAACAAAAGGCAGGTCCCAGGCAGACCAAAATGAAATAACTGAAGAGGACCTACTGCAGATTCAGCAGACCCAGATGCAGGTGATCCAGTCTGGCTTTGACAGTGTCAACCACAATCTTCGGCTGCTGCAGCAAGGCATGCAGGATCTGAGTAACAGCATCAGCATCATGGCGCATACGCTTGTTGCTATCAAAAACGTCTATGTGAAAAACAACACTGGCCCGACCACACACGCCACTGCCTCTACTCAGACCACAGCTGGGTACCTGAGCCCAGGTTCCCCCCAGATCTCCCCTCCTGAGGACAGAGGTAGAGTGCAGGTGGCTGGAAGCAGCAGCAGAAGCAGCAGCAGCAGCTCCAGCTCCATGACACAAGAACCAGGTCCCTCCGAGTTTTCTAGGCCCTCTGTGAGAACCATTAAGAAAGAACATCCAAATGGCTGCTACTACTTCTGCTTTGCAGATGTGTAAAAACTTGAATATATGTAAAGTGACTGTGGTGTTAGGTGCTGTTGTATGTTCTGCTCCGACCTGTGACTTTGAAGGAGCAAAGTGGACTTGCCTCCTGTGTTTTTCCCAGTGGGAAACATTTTTGCTATAGGTGGCATTAAAAACTAATTACCAGTCTCCCGTTTGTTAACTCTGTTGCAGTTGGCTAATAATTTTCTTCTGTTTTCTTTATCCTCTTACTCTCTTAAAAAAAACAAACATTTGAGTAAGACTTTTGTCTGTATCATCCTTTGTTTCATGTCACCTTTTGAAAAATAAAAGAAAAGGCATGAGAGTGGGGTAGAAAAAGTAACATTATGGTTACTGATCACCAGGAGCTGTCTTACACAAGTTGCTTAGTTCTTTGATTAAACAAACCTCAGAAGTAGCTGGTTTTTTAAGTACTTCCTTTTTCTAATAATTATAAAGTTGTGGGTGTTTGCTTGGCTGTTGCTGGGTTTTTTTAAGTCTGTTCTGTGCAAGGCATCCCAGTAAGAGTTTGAGATACCTGCTTATTCTATGAATGGTTTAGGACTGAGCTGCTGATTCGTGAATCTAATCCTCAGAATTCATACAGCATTCTTCCCCTTGGCTATTGTTCATTCTCAGCTTGTCAAATGCACCTTCTTCTCAGAGACATTTTGTTTTACTGCACTAGCAGGGTAGTCTCGTTTTTTGTCACATGATTAAAATAGAGAAATACGGCCGCTCTTACTTTGCTCAGTTCAGAAGTAGCTGAGGTGCTGTGTTCTTACATCTGGTGTCCGTACAGGAGGGGAAACAAAAACACTCTCACCTGCAATTTTGTCCAATGACCTGAAAAATCATGCAGGTTGACTTCTTAAGCATTTATCACCAACATTAAAGTTCATTAAAGATAAATTTGGCCTATAGCAATGACTAGCTATAGGCTAGTTAGTTTGCCCAAGCATTCCTGCTGCACAAATTTAGCAAATACAACTGATGCAGAGAATGGCAACCCAATTGTCCCTCTCCTAGAAGCATAAGAATATGTAATCATAGGGCAAAGTATGTAATTTTTGTAGTCAACCGTGACAGAACGCTATACCATATGAAAACATACATTTCAGTTTTTCACTTCTGCCCTTATACCATTACGGTATTTGGACCGATTTCACACACCTGCACTTCAGAAACCAACAGCTGCTGCCTGCTAGAACATGAACACAGGGCAGTCAAGGTGTTAGCAAGTGTTTCTCTTCAGTATCATAGATGGTGTAAAAGAAGCAAATATTTCACAAAAGTAAAAAGTATACATGTACAGCACACTCTCAGTTGGGATTAATGCCTTGAAGAAGAGAAGGTTCTCTTTTTTAGGTTTACCTTAAGAAAAGGAGATTGTGTGTGTGACAGACATTAATAAATTGCTGGGTTGAAGAATGAGAAAGACCCAATCATTCTAAGTCAGATTTCTGAGTCTATGTTGTTACAAGCTTTCAAAATTACCCTGGTTGTTACAAGCTTTCCAAATTAACCTGTTGGAAGCATTATTTCTCCCCCATCAGTACAAATGTACTCTCTAGAGCAGGGTCTTCTGCGTTTTGTTTTCATGGACAAAGAAGCAAATTAATGCTACCATGACATTCCAGGCAGATTAACAAAATGTGATTGAAACATTACCTGGTCCTTCTGGGCAGCAGTTTGAGTTTGTCCAGGTTGTGACAATTCTTGTCTTTCTGTTGATGTTTCAATTCTTTTTGCAACTGTCAATTCTTGAATGTCACATACTACAGCATTTCTAGGGAGAGTTGAGGTGTGTCTGGTACACGGCTTTCTCATGTTCGAGTACTGATTTAAATGAGCTACAGTGCAAGTACAGAAAAGTTCAGCAAGATCCTAAGAGCAGAATCAGCAGATTGAATCTCCTGTGTAATTAAAGACAAGCCAGGCAATGCCAAAAGATGCTTCAGTGGGCAGACAATGACCAGACCTCAACATCAATCTGCCATAGCACCTTTGTTCCAATCTTGCTTCTTTCCCAGTCTGTCAGTTGTACCGCTAATGTATACTGGAGCCAGACCAAAATCACTCTTCCATTTCTGGTATGATCCAGATTTACATATTTTAAACAAGGAAAATATGTAAATTTTCCTTGAGCTACCTCTTGCCACTACAGAGTGCACAAATTTGTTCTTTTCATCTTCTAGTTAATACAGCTGGTTTGCTATTTCTTTACACACCCTTTCTGTGATCAAGTGATGATTCTGTTAGAGGCGCCAAAAGCACACAACATTCAAAAGCCATCACATTAAGTTTTTGGCTGCTCTTAACACACTTTCTTTGGCTGTTACTGAGTAAATGAATTCCCAGTGTATTTCCTCTTGTGTGAAGCTATTTAAGCTATTTGTATAAATGACAAGGGCTAATGACCTGATCATGAACCTTAGTGAAAATACTGCCAATGATGTGGGCAAAGGCAGAGCTCGCTTTTAATTTGCCTTACATACAAGGCATAACAGTGGTAATACTGAGAAATCTATCCAGGAAATTTTCTCCAATTCTTCTGGACTTCCCTAAAAAACTTGTTCTGCTGTGCAACGAGCAGGCAATATTTGCCACAGCGCAGGACTGAGACCTGCAGGCACACAAACCACAAATATAAATTCTGATGATATTGCACTCTACTTTTACCTAATTTTACTAGAAAGATAAATAAAAGGGTCTTGGAGGAAACTAGAGCAACTGGTAGCTTATCACTGCATTTCCCCATACCACAAGGTTCTCAGATTCAGTAACAACTTCCACTCACTCATTTCTCTGCTATCTGCTACTTAAGTGTATTGTACAGGTCTCCTCAAGAGGCTATAAAAGCTCAGTGACTACATCCAGACACCTGATTATCACCAAAAGAAGTCAATTATAGTGGCCTCTGACTATATAAAAAAACTACAATTTTGAAGAAAAAAAAGCCAGCAGCAGCTGGCTTTTCAGAACCACCATATTGTTACTTAAATTGACCTAATCTACATGTGCCAATCATTTATTGTTTAGATAAATACAGACAGAAGGGATAAGAGCAAGAGCAAATAGAAAGGGAAGATTCTGAGGAGGCCACTTGGGTTTTTCTGTTCTTATGGATATGCATATGTTCTTATGGATATGCAACACAGGAACCTACTAAATCAGTTATACTTCCAGTCATTGATCCAATCATTCTGATTTGCAATATGAACATCTATTCATGCTGCAGTAGTACCAACACATGCTTGATTTTTGCTTTCTCGTAACAGAGAAAAAAAATAATCATTGCCAAAATACTTTCTCCATTTGAATTACAATAGTAAAAAAAAATGGAAAAAAACTCAACTGAAGCTTTATAAATTAATGAGTCATTATACAAACACAATTAGGAATTGAAGTTTTGCATGCTGAATGAATATTTTATTTAGAACCAGTTTATAAAAATAAAATACAAAATAATTTGAAAACAAAACTTAAACATTGTACAAAGCCTTGATATGGTACAAATGAGAAAATAAATAATTACAACTTTATGTACAAATGACCATTACAAGGGCATTAACTCTTTATGCTCTTGGGTGCCTGAGCAAACTTAAATGAAAAGAATGGCTTAGAAGATTTCCAAAGAGGGGAGAGAACTGCAATTACTGAGTAAGAGAATTTGAAGGACTCAACATTTGTCTTCCTCAGTGGTAAAAAATTACCTTGGAACTACTTTCCACTTAATTTAATCATGCTGCAGACTTTACTGTTGCGTACTTGATTTCTTATGGGGTGACAACATTGTATTTTTAATTCATACACAGATTTCATTCTCTGTGGTATTGCCCAGAGATTTTAGATTAGCAGCCATTGGTTGGCAGCTTCAAAAAGTCAGCACTTGTCTGAAGGCATTGCTGGTGATTTTCTTTATTTACTAGATTGGTTATTCATAGGAAAACATTTGGAAATTGGTATCTGTTAGCGCAAGCACTGCAACTTCTCTCTGGGCTGACTCTGTAGAAAGAAAGTAAAAAAGCTGGGGAAGAATTTCCAATCTTGCTTTCTAGCCAACAAAAGCAAAGAGGATGCAGAGAAGGATGCTTGGCAACAATCCAGATCTCCAGTCAGAGGAAAAAGATGTGAAATAGCAAAAAAAATCCCACCTCACTTTGTGTCAAACCGTTATGACCTTGCCTGCCGTGCAGCAGATATACGTTTAAAAGGATTTGAAGTCAGGCAGACCAAACTAATTACACTGCATCTTTTGGAGCAAGCTATTCTGCTGTTACTATAAGTCCTTTATGTAAAAGTTAGGTCAAAGATCAAGTGATCTCAAAACAAACATTAAATTAATTCCAGCTGAATTCCCACAGACACTTATTGATGATCAGCACTTCACTTGAGTAGCACACTTGTGGTATTGTTTTCGAAGAAACCACATCATACTCTTGGCCAAAGCAGGCTCTCAGCAGTAATACAGAAAAGTAGAGATCAAAAGGCATGTCATGTCATAATAATAACAAAAAAAATAAGTGACTTTATCCCCCTAATCAGGGGAAAAAGCCTCAACAAAACAGGACCCTATACTAATTTTAATGAAATTTCAACTGCACAAGAACAGCAAGACTTCCCAAGGATCCAAGCTCTTAATGTGGAGGAGGAACAGAAGCAAAATACATGAATGACATATGCTAACACTTGGGTTTATCACTGTTACTGTTAAGAAAGAATGTGTTACCATCAATGGAGAGTAAAATCAGCCTACATGTTCAAACCTGGATGGCGAGAGTAATTGCCAAGTTAATATAATAGTCTTTGAAACAATAGACTCCTGTGAATTATTCTTTAAAAAAACTAACAAAAATTAACCAAACAAAAAACCCCCTCAAAGATGAATATTTAAACATGATTATTTAAACCACATGAAAATGAGTGATAAAACTTTTTGGCATTTGGCTATGTCTTAGGATAATTCCAGACAATTATTACATAATCCAGGCTGACTTCTATATAATTTCTCTTTCACAAATGCTATATGTAGGGAAAAGGAAGACTGGCTTCCAGCAGACACCTGAGGTATTCTTGTGTGAGGTGCATGTTTATGCGATTTGCATGTATTAGCTAAAAAATGTATGACCTGTGCCTGGGTATTACATGTAGTCAAAGCACTGAACCTCACTTCCTTTTGCCGGTGGTCATGGTTATTGAAAATTGTAATAATTACAAGCAATGACATTTGAGCCAAAAGGAAAACAGCAAACAAAGCCTTCCAGTTCACTGCCTACTTGATTAGCTAAAAGAAGTAGAATAAAATTATTATGCCCTGTTC